TATCTATCTATCTATCTATCTATCTATCTATCTATCTATCTATCTATCTATCTATCTATCTATCTATCTATCTGTCTGTCTGTCTATCTATCTATATATCTATATATCTATCTATTTATCTATCTATCTATCTATCTGGGTTTGTCATAATTTTTGTGTGTCATTATTTTGTCAAATATTTGTCATTATTCACCCTTGATTTCATTATATCACCTATTTAATTACGAAACTTGAGGATCGGAAATTGAATCGAAAAGTCCCAAGTACTAGGCTCTTTGGCTTACCTTGGCAGGGTCTGTCATGTCCGCATAGCCGCGCTGCTCTGGAGCTTGCCTCCTGTTATCCCCCGTCGGACAGAAAAACAGCTCAAGATTCGTGCCAGATGTCACAAACGCCTGGAAAACATGTATATCATGATGCATATATATATATGAGCTTGTATAGTTATAAAATATAATAGGGAACTCCCTATTATTTACTATTATGTATAGATCGTGGTTGTGCGTGGTGTGTGTGCGCGTGTGTGCGTGCGTGTGTGTGTATGCACATCCGTCTGTATATCATAGTGGAGGTTTTCCCCAATACTCTGATCTTACAATAAACGCAAATATGCAACAACGACTTTACCCCATCAACCATTATATATTGAAAATCAAATCAAACCGAGCTAGGGAGTCCAACAAGCTCGCACACGTCAGAGGCTGCAAGAGTTGCTCATTGATGTACTTATTTTGTGCTGGTAAATAACAGGAGACTTACAATTTCCGCGTGTCCTTCGGTGCATCCTTGCTGAAACCGCGCCGCTCTTTCATGATGCGGCCTGTCTCTGCACCCCGTAAACCTCACCTAGAATACACGGAAATTCCACGTTAGAACGCTGTTACATATAGCAGCGTGCACGTGAGCACGTGCCCACTTATACACTCATGTACGCACGCACGCACGCACACATACCCACATGCAGTAGTTAAGGTACATATCATTAATTCTCATCGAATGTCGCGTACACTACGATCGGTCCATGCTCAATCCATTTCCAATTTTCATCAACGACAGAACTGAATTCATACGTAGTTATGAACACACAAGGGCGTTGCCGGTATCAGTAATGATTCAGCTTTGCTCGTACACGGGCGTTCTGACAGCGTGTGGTGACGGGTAGGACCCGTAGGACTATAGAACGGTAATCGTGGTGACAATCGTAGAGACATACACATGTATACGAGTTCACTGTAGCAATGCTACCCTACAACTCAGCCAAGATAGCGATGACGAGAAATTGACGTTCCTGAATAGCGGCTCGTGAAATTTGTCATCACGATTAGTCACATTATTACTCACTTCCGGTATAGACACTATAGCAAGCCCGCGAACACGCGCGAGATATCGCCACCATACACACATACTTCACATATCGGAATACGATTATTGCATCATAGTCGTAAGATCACAGGTAAACTCAACACGGAGAACTCGAAACGGTTTTGCAATACACGAGCGCTGGTATCCACACGGTCTGCCACGTGCTCGTCGATGTATACGCGTTCCGCTGGCACTGCCACGCGCGTACGAATGAATATACCTCGCTATCTCTGCTCAGTCGTCGAAACAACTCGTCGTTGTTAAACTTTGCTCTCTGGTCGGCAACAACTCGGGGCATACTAGGCATGGCAACACCAGTGCCTTTCCCCGCCGATGTGGACAGCATCGAGTTAACCATCTGAATGGCAATGTTCTTTGCAACTCGGCTACCTTCTTACTCATCGCCGTTTCTATATGGGCCGCCGTGTACCCTCTCCCCATTCACCGCGAGTGATCACGTGCCGAGATTCCGATTGGATGATCGCTGGTAGCGTTCGGCTTATTCACGAGGATCACCATATTTGGAACGCCGAACCGGATTTAGGCGGGGCGTGCTGCCGTGTCGTCACGTTCGTGCATCTTCGGCAGCTCCTTTTATGGGAGATGATTGACAGCTTTTACTACGAAGCGTACGCTGAACTGGTCGCGGCAAGCAGAACCCGCAGCAAGCCAGCAACGATACCACTGTAGTCGCGCGTTTACACACTAGTTATGTACTCTACCGTGAAGATCGCCGTTGATATATCCGAGAAGCATAAGAGCACGCTAAATCTTAGCTGGACGACGCGCGTTTTGTTGACGGACTAGTGTAATAATCTTGGGCCTGTTGATTCTACCCGCTCCTCTTAATGTTTGAAAGTACCCAAGGCACCATAGTTTCATGTTGGGCTGAGTAAGATTGCCTTCTTTACAGGCAATAAAGTGACGAGTTAGTCATCATTCTATACGTCTGTTACGATGCGTACGAAAGTAAAGCCTAGCGCAGACTTGCGACTAGGTCTGCGTTACTATCTCAATCACGCAGTAAACCCACTGTGTGAAACACAGCGATATGTTGCGCAAGCGACCGATGACAAATAGTCGGTAAACACATAGGCGTGTCTCTCACGCGATGCACATAGATTTTCGAAGATTCGCAACCCTACGGGATGACGAAGTTAATTTCGCATCCGCCGTTTACCGGCTCCCACGTATAATACACGCTACGATTCACCACTTCCGCTCATGATCCGCTAACCGCAAAACCGCAAAGCGAAACAAAAACGACAACGTGCCCGCGCGTGGGCGTCTGTCTGCACCGACTGCGTGTAGTAATAATATCAGTCGGGCGTAGTATTTGCCGCCTACGTTACATTTGTGTAGACGGTTGACGAGTGAGTAATCCACCCACACGCGCAAATCCACAGAATTGATAGCCGTGCGGTTTAATTAACGACCACGGTCAGCGTGATATTGCGCGGGTTAGTATATATATATATATATATATATATATATATATATATATATATATATATAGACGATGTGGGCTTTTCCAGGGTTATATTGAGCAGCATCAACCCTACCCGAGTCATATTTGAACACGTTATCTTACTCTTGGTATATAGAGATAACGTTCACGAGTGCGTGTACCTATATTATTACAGTGTGGGTGTGTTAGTATGGTGTGTGTGCACGGCATGCATGTGGGAGCGTACGTACGTGCGTGTGTGTGTATGCGTGTGTGTGCATGTGTGTGTGTGTGGTGTGTGTGTGTGTGTGTCGTGTGTGTGTGGTGTGTGTGTGTGTGTGTCTGGTTGTGTGTGTGTGTGTGTGTGTGTGTGTGTGTCGTGCTGTGTGTCGTGTGTGTGTATGCGTGTTTGTGTGTTGCGTTGGCGTGCGTGTGTGTCGTGCGTGCTTTAGCGGGCGTGCGTGCGTCGGCGCGCAGCGCGCGCGTGTGTGTGTGTGTGTTGGCGTGTGTGTGTGGTGTGGTGTGTGTGTGTGTGTGTGTGTGTGTGTGTGTGTGTGTGTGTGTGTGTGTGTGTGTGTGTGTGTGTGTGTGTGTGTGTGTGTGTGTGTGCCTGTGCGTACGTGCGTGTGTGCGTGCGGGTGTGTTTAGGCTGTGTTCCAGTGTTCACGTTCGTATTCCACGTTAACATAAATCTCTAAACATTGAATCTCGAATCACGACAGGTGAAAATTCTCGTTACCTGACTGACGACAAAACGTCGTTTTTTCCACTGATGAAAAAATACGAGGTTATATCACGCCTAATCATATTACTTCACAAAAATTACTCCAAGTCAACCAATTGTCATTTTAACCTATAAAGGAAAAACTATTTCATTTCTTCTTGATTTATGAGGTGAAAGAGAACGGAGTGATGTACATTGTTGTGTTTCGCCTAAGATAGACTTGCTATCGGAAATGTCTTATTTATCTAAATTGTAAATTATTTATGTAATTTTATGGTACGCAATCAATATATAATATATTCTATATTTAGTCCCATGTTTCTCTAGATAACATGTTAGACAGCGCTCTATTTCGTGAGATTAAGAAGCAGGCGAATCTAAGAACCGATAAAATTACAAAGTTTTATTATGCTATCGTCTGTCAATGCTGCACGTACGTTGCACATTGAAACTCACTTTAGATCAACATTTCAACCAGTCAAACACGTGGGCAAAGTCTACGGTCGTGCACCCTCGATCCTCATCATACGATCGGCGACACAGCTGATTGTCAATATAGGATGATCCCCATATTTCGCATCGCCAATCCTTTACGACGCGAGTGATACCTTGACATCAGCGATCAGCTGAGTTCCTCAACAGGCGATCAGCTGATTCATCGCGGTGCGCAGAGGTGGCGCCCCTGTGTGATAAAAAGCGTAAACTTATGGGTAAGGAAATACTCCGTTAAAGAGCTACCGAATATACTTAGAACTATGAATTATTTCGACTATCGTCTCTAAATACAGTCGCGCGTATATAGGGTGTTCTTACGTGTGTTTATTTACTGTTCAAATATTTCTGCATTAGTGACGTGCGTGACCGTGACGTCACATCGCATCTTCCGCACAAGTTTACGAACTAAAGAAACTCCGACCTAGCTCATTGGTTTAGAGTGCATTGTCGTTTGTTCTATCATGGTTTGTTTACCTTTCTGTTCGCTAAAATATATAAATATAAAATATACCGCGACACCGGCTCAGCGAATTCAACCATAATTTAAGCCTGGCAGGACGGCTAAAGTCTAAAGATGGCTAAAGAAGTCTAAAGGCTAAAGATGGATTATGTGCCGGAGAAACTGCACTCGCAAAGCGCCACGACACTAACCATTGTCGCGGCTACGATAGGCTTGATTATTACTCTGCTCACACAGAGGCTGAAGTCAACATCGGCTTCTGTAAAAGGAAACGACTTGGTGGTAATATTACTCGTTACAGACATTATTACTATTACTATTAGTAATATATTAATCTGTATTTTTAATTGCTCGTTACACTGAGAGCCTGAGAGGGTAATAAAAATGCACATGATATATACCGGGTACTGTATTTATATTTATAATTATAACTGTAACTGTAAGTGTAGCTGAGAGTGAGAGGGTCTATGTCCCCCAGGGTACTGCCGGAACGTACCCTGGGTACGGTCCGGTATACCAGAACGTACCCTGGTCACTATTTGATATGGTTAGGGTTAGGATTAGGGTTAGGGTTAGGATTAGGGTTCGGGTTCGGCTTAGGGAGTAGGCGTAGGCAACTCCCTAGACTCGTTAGTGGAGTAGGTGAGGTACGGTTCGGCATATTAGATAGTACCAGGGTACGTTCCGGCAGTACCCCGGGGGACATAGACCCTCTCCGCGTAAGTGTAACTTACAACAAAGTCAACATAACTTTATATCTTTCCCGTTTCCGTCTTCGATATAATAGTGAGCTTTCGTTTTGCACGACGGATCGTTCTACGACGGTGAAAACCACACTGGGACCGTCTGCGCATGCTCGAATCTTGCTGTACCATCCGTCCTGAAGATTCTACGACGGTTCTCGGGGTAAATCACCGTCGTGCCGAGAACGACGACGTATAGCCAAGGCCGTGCCTGGTGCGCATGCGTCTGGTCATGCGCATGGTCCATCGACAGATACTTTGACATACTTTGACGGATACTTTGCCATTTTGATGTATTGTATATTTGTATGACTTGATGACACAAACTTTTGAAGCAAGCGACACGATGTCGATGATGAGAGAGAGTATGCATTCCGTAAGTTTCCACTATTTGGTGGTGACAGCCCATGTTGAAATCAAATCATAATCAGGCGTGGATTAATGATGGTCTTTTACTAAGATAATACTAATAAAGGTCTATAGTATTACATCTACAGTTAGTGTTACTGACATGTTTAAAAGATTCAAAATGTAACAATGACATAACCGGTGAAGATTCGCCATTTTTAAAATACGCGCGATCAAAACAAAAGGTCATGTGATCAAATTGGCCAATTTGTCGCCGTCGTGAAAATCGAAACGAGTTACCGCAGGACGGACGCTCAGCACGCCCGACGGTATGGTCACAGGTTTTTATCCGTCGTGCAAAACGAAAGCTCACTAATCCCTTGGACTTTGAAGACTAATATTTATGAGGTTATGAGGTACCGTATTGCATGAATAAAATTCATTAGCAAGTCGTAGATCGCCACGTAGTGAGAAACGAGAAGGTAACTTATTGTGCCTAATAATGCAATAGTAACTTATGTGTTAATTAGTTATTATACAGTTATGATTGTAGGCTAAAATCAATTTGATATATAGTGAACATAGTAGTATTTTGTAAAAACTAATAAATACTATTTTGTTTTATTTATTAGTTACAGAATCTACCACCAGTGATACCACATTCAGTTCCATTTTTGGGACATGCAGTAGCATTCGGTCAGGACCCAATCAACTTCCTGAAAACAGCGTATGACAAGGTTACCAATAAACTTGGCTATAGCATTTTACCAGTGACATCAATTCATTTAACTAATGTTATGCAATACTATATGACAGTGCACCGATGTGTGTACCTGGTAACACTCGCGAACCATGCTAGTGCTACATATATATAGCCATAGCCAGTGTTTTTCTATCTATATCAAACAGTTTGAAGTCGACCCATCCAATTGAAAACACACAAAAGAACTTAGTCTGTAATAAGTAGTTATGTCACATCGTATTGATCTTTATTTGACTTGCATTTATAAACCGTTCACTTCATTGAGTGCTCAATTATATAGACAAGCATGTGCATTGTAAAATTGTGTACCGGTATCATGTTAAAATTGTGTTCCCCAGGCTAACCGGATCTCCTTATCACAGTTAGTGTTCTGTGTTTCAGAGTGCATTGTAAATGCATGTTATGTGTACTAGCCTATGCCAGAAGCAGCTCAGCACAGTAGGTAATCACGCAGTCTTGTAACATTTATAAGTCGATCTCACTGCTTCAGTATGGTCCAGTCTTCTCTTTCACGATGGTGGGCAGCACGTTTACCTACCTGGTTGGCTCTGATGCCTCAGCACTCTTCTTCAATAGCAAAAATGAAGATCTGAATGCTGAGGATGTTTATAGCCGGCTTACCACGCCTGTGTTCGGCAAGGGTGTCGCTTACGATGTGCCAAACCAGGTATTCCCACGTTTATGTATATATAATCTACTCATACCACAGACCTAATTCTTTGATCTCATCTTGTTTTCTCCATTCCATCTGTTTGCATGTTGTTGTTTCTCAATGCACTTGAAACCATAGTTACGTATTGATATGTTTCAATTTTTAAGTAATCCTGTTGTTACAATGTAGTATAGGTTTCCATTGAATACATTTGCCAAGTGTGTTTGTTATTTTCATGTAGTCAGAGTAGCATATGCACCAGGTGAGTCTGGTATGATTATATGCATATTTTCATTTTAATCTTACTGTGAGCATTTCTGTTAATTTTCAGCTATTTCTTGAGCAGAAAAAAATATTCAAGACTGGCTTGAATATTGCTAGATTCAGGACCCACGTATCACTGATAGAAGATGAAACACGGGAGTACTTTAAAGCGTGGGGACACAAGGGAGAAAGGGGTATGTGCTTCTTCTAATTCATGTTAGCTGTAGAGTGATCAAGTTTAAGCATGTACGGTAGAGTGTGGGTAACTATACTTGTACTATGAGAAATTAACCAGCTAGCAGCTATGGGACAGGATGCAGACATTAAGTCTATTACGTAATTGTATAATCCGAACATGTTTAAGCCAGGCTATGTGCTCTTGCTAGTGCAGTTATGTAAGTGCACGCATATAGTGACTCATTGTGAGCCAGTTTTATACAGTCTACGTGTACCCTTCCACAGGAACCTCTTCAATTGAGATTTGCTTATTTTACCCACATTTCCTGAATTTTGCTTGTGCGACCATTACCGGAAGTAACACAACATATTACACCTCAATCAAGAGTTTGAATTTTCTATCTATTCATTTAAAAGTAGTACTGCACGATATATTGCTGCTGGGTTAAATCTGCTCCTACTCTCTCCTAGATATATTCGAGGCACTCTCCGAACTGATCATCCTCACAGCCTCCCGCTGTCTGCATGGGTCCGAGGTCCGAGACTTGTTTACCGAGAGCAGCAAGATATCAGAACTGTATAAAGACCTGGATGGAGGATTCAACCAACTCGCATGGCTCCTTCCTGGATGGCTTCCATTTCCCAGCTTCTTGTAAGTGATGCAGTTTATGAGTGATGATCTTCGGCTAGCTGGAGCTGGTATTGGATGAGATGGCGATCGTTTATATCGTATTAGCACTCTTGGTCTAGTCGTAATATTGAGTGATGTTCGTGGGTGGTTTTTGCTCATGTTGACTCGAATGCTAATGTGTGACTGCCTGCCTGTTGGAAGGAAGCGAGATAGGGCGAGGTTGGAAATGGAAAAGATGTTTCGCAAGGTTATATCTGCTCGGCGAGCATCTGAACCAAAGGATGACATGCTGCAGACACTAATTGACTCCACATACAAGTACGAACATCTACTAGTACTTCTATACAGCTTGCCACCTGTCTCTACCATTATTATCAGTGATTCTCTCATGCACGAATTTTAGCATTTAATGTTGCACAATCACTCACAACGTCTTTGCTTAGATTTTTATTCAATACAGTACCAATGTGGAAAGTTCTTCAGTTAACACTGAAAAGGACTTTAGTTAAGACTGCGGCGGGTTCGGTTGCTGTTATCGAAGCAGTATACTGTTAAAGGCTCACAATGCGCATCCAAATGCTAATTTCTCCAGTACTAGACTAGCAAATACTTCGTGTCATGCATAATCACACTACCTTATGACAAAATAAACTATAGTTGCTCCCATTTCACTGCGCGTTTGCTTAATACCCACAAGAAAAAGGTGAGAAAACTGGCATTCTGGCGCAACGCCGACTGTTTGCCAAACAAAATAGCCTCAAAGTGGTGACGTGACGTCACATGTTTTTATCTTTGCTGTGCCCGTACCGCTGTACCGCAGCACCACTGCACGGTTGCTTGGGGATTGGGGAAACTGTCAACAACATCGGAGAATTTTAACAACATTGGAGGTATTTTCAAAATACCTTTTATAAGACAACGCGCAGTGAAATGGGAGGAACTAGAGTTTATTTTGCCATAAAGTAGTATGATTATGCATGACACGAAGTATTTGCTAGTCTAGTAATGGAGAAATTAGCATTTGGATGCGCATTGTGAGCCTTTAATTCATAGTGGTATTGTACGATTTCCACATTTAAAGAATCGATCGATTGCAATGGCATGCAGGTAAATTCTAATATACAGGGAGCTATTCAAGTTGCTAGGTAATCGCCACTTATGAAGTTGTTTCACAATGCGTCGACATTGACGTTTGAGTCACGCGGCAGGAATGGCAGCCACCTGACAGATCAGGAGATTGTTGGGATGCTCATCGGTCTGCTTATGGCAGGTCAACACACATCTTCCACAACCAGTGCCTGGCTGGGTTTCTTCATTTCCCGGCATAAGCATGTGCAGGTGAACAGTATTCTTGGAGTTTGACTGATGCTACTAGGTTGATAGCTGATAGCTGAATGTTCATACTCGTGTACATTTTGCCTTAAGCGTAGCAGGCTTCAATTGCAGATGGCTCGTGTTAGTGATTATGATATATATATCATAAATCACTAACATATATATTTATATATATATATATATATATATCATAATCACTAACATGACTCATCTGCAATTGAAGCCTGCTACGCTTAAGGCAAAATGTGCACGAGTATGAACAGTTGGCTATCAACCTAGTGGAAGCAGTCGTAGTCATAGTAAACTAACACCACTGTATCCTATAACACCCGTTTCAAAAGAAGGAATAGAACAATACCAAACATAAATCAGGTAATATGGCTGCATTGCCAAATAACTTCTATATGCACGTGGCCGTAATAGCTGATGCTATTTGTGCAAGTAGATGACGAAAATAGCACGTAAACTGGTCACGTTTGTGTGCGGTTCGTCTGCTCGTGACGGCAACGAAGCCTGTGTCGTAGTCGGAGTCACATGATGGCTGTGTTGTTAGCTCCACGCACCATCTCTCTCTCTCTCCCTCACTCTCTCACTCTCTCTCTCGCTATCTCTCTCTCTCTCTGTCTCTCTCTCTCTCTGTCTCTCCCCCGTCTCTCTCTCTCTCACTCTCACTCTCCTGCTTTCGCTCTCTCTTTCTCTCTCTCTCTCGCGCTCACTCTCCTGCTTTCTCTCTCTCTCTCTCACTCTCTCCTGCTTTCTCTCTCTCTCTGTCTCTCTCTCTCTCTCTCTCTCTATCTCCCCCTCTCTCTCTACTCTCTCACTCACTCACGCTCTCTCTTGTGCCGTTATAGGAAGCTCTGTATGAGGAGCAGAAGCTGGTCTGCGGTGAGGCCTTCCCTCCGCTCGCCTATGATCAGCTGAAGGACATGACCTTGCTCGAGCGCTGCATTAAGGAGACGCTGAGACTGCGGCCACCTCTGATGACCGTCATGAGGATGGTTCGCTCACCGCAGGTATCGACTCTCGCCGTAGCCCGTAGATGGCGCTGCAGTCGCACGGGGCTCAGCGATGGCTAAACCTTACCATCTTAACCTTATTTTATTATAATCCTGATCTTGTTGTCATCCTTATCTTTATCTTATTATTATCCTTATCCTTTTCTTATCCTTATCCTATCTTTATCTTATCCTTAGTTTTATCACTATCCTTATCTTAGCCTTATCTTGATTTTATCAGCAGTGCAAATGTTTCTCAAGAGCTGTATCACGGATTCAAGTGACATTTAATTGTTGCAATCCTACATTTTTTAATCGCAGATCTTCATATATATTGATGTTGGGATGTTTATGAGTTAATAGCTATTTGAGATAATATTAGTATAGCATACATGTCAACCCCTTCGGATGCCCACCTGTATAACCTTCTGGAAAAATCCATAAAATCCATAAGAAATCCTTAGGATCTACAAATCACAACAGAATGAGTTTAATATTAACAATTTATTAACCGAGAGTCATCTCTGCAGTCTCTAGTCTGCATTCATTCACTGCAGCAACAGTAACCTTCCTTGAATTATCAAGATTGACCAATCATCATGGTTGGGTTCAAATGCAGCTCGGAAGTCGAACGAGGTTTCATTGCCGCGAGACTTCAGTTAAACATCCGGTTGATGCTCTTTGTTCTCTTTACATGTGTGCACGTGTTCATGTGTTATTTTATCGTTCTCTAAACAAAACAGCACGCAATAAATTTTGAGCCAAGTTTGTTTATAATCCGTATGATTTTAGGTGTACGACCCCGTAAGCAATTTAAATGGGTGAAAATCCGTAAAACTTACGGACATTCCGTATAGGTTGACATGTATGGTATAGATGGCCCGGATGTGGATGACCTGTGCTTTTAGTAGTCATTGTTGCCTTGAGGAAATTTCAACATTTGTCACTGTTTGCTGCACTGCAGACGGTACTTGGATATACCATACCGCCAGGACACCAGATTTGTGTTTCACCTAGTGTGAATCACACACTCAACAGCACTTGGGGGGAGAGTGCGGAAGAGTTTGACCCAGACAGGTGAGTGAAGGAGGTAGTGTGGGCTGTGTGATTGGTGCTGTCTGCGCTGTCATCTCACGAAGTTGAAGAGTGCTTGCTGTTGTAAAGTGGTGCCGACGAATTGCACCATAATTGCTGTCAGCACGCTTGCACATACAGTGATATTGTAAATATGCGCTCATGGCGCCATCTACTGGCACTAATAGTCATTTTATAGTCGAAAGTGCTGTGTAGTCCATCCTATGCCGATGGCTACCATACATTGGCTGAAAACACGGCTAGGAAATGTTTACAGTGTCTTTCTCTAGAGTTATTTTCTGTGTGATGGCTTACTGTCCTATTTCTCTACCTAGAAACTTTCTCCTATTTTCTTCCTTTCATTGTGGCATGAATTGACTAGACTATGACGAGAAACCGTGACTGCTACTAGCATGAGAGCTTTACTGTTAAGCTGAACACTCTCATGTCAGATTTCTGGGAGTGTCCGCCACCACGATCAGCGAGAAGTTCGCCTACTTGCCGTTCGGTGCGGGGCGCCACCGTTGCATCGGCGAATTCTTCGCCTACGTGCAGATCAAGGTCATCTGGTCGGTGCTGGTACGCACGTTCGAGTTTGAGCTGGCCGACGGCTACTTTCCTCCGGTCAACTACCAGACGATGATCCACACGCCAACCGATCCAGTGATCCGGTACAGGCGACGCGTGTAGGCACGCTGTGCATACGGCCAGGTGCTCTCTCTCTCTCTTTCCCTCTCCCTATCTCTGTCTATCTCTCTCTCTCTCTCTCTCTCTCTCTCTCTCTCTCTCTCTCTCTCTCTCTCTCTCGCGCTCTCCCTCTCTGTCTATATCTCTCTCGGTCTCTCTCTCCATTTCCCTCTCT